ATGTGAGCATGGAACACCGAGCACTTGCGAAGGTATTACCAATAAGTAGATTAGGTTCTATTTATTTCTATGAACTATATTTGTTGTAAGGCTATTTACGACTGAAACACTTGATCAATAAGAGAGGTATTATTCAATATTTGCTTTGTTCATAATTTACAATTTTTAGTTCATCGACAATTAAATACCGATCAATAAATCGCGACCTAAGCGATGAAATTCCAAAAGAAAATTCGGAGTCAAGAGTCTAGGAAAGATAACTTACCTCGAAGAAGCCACGCCAAAATCCAACTCTTTGAGAATAAAACATCCTAAATCGACGAAATTAAACTTGAGTCTTAAAATCAAGGAAAAAACACGTCGAAGGAAATTGGCTCTAAGCCGAAGACCAAAGAACTCGAAAGGGACAATAAAGTCTAAAATCAAAGTTTATCATCGCATCATATTTCCTCACATAGATCGAGATTGAAAATCCTAGGTCGACGAAGTTAAACTTGGAAAAATCCAAGAAAAAGCACGTAAAAAAAAAATCGGCCTTAAGCCAGCGACAAAAGCCCGAAAAGAACGATGAGTCTGAAATAGATGCCAAACGTCGCATAAAGATTTTTTGCCAAAAAATCCGAAAAGCTCCTAAAGAACCGAACTACGCATGATTTGGAGCAAAATTTGGGTCCCAAAGTCTGATTAGGACAAATTAAATGACTCCGCAGAAATAAAACAATCATTTCTCGAAAGAGAAACGTTAAAAAATGTTTTTTCATTAACTATAAGTTTAGTTACATTCGGGCAATATAAAAACAAAAAAAATACTAAGATTCTTCATGCTGATGGGGGAGCAGGGCATTCGTCTTCAACCCCGTGTTTGGGAACCTCGCTCAAGAGAACTGTGGTTAAAGGAACTGTGTCTTTCACCTCTAGCTTGGGCCTAGCCTCCTTGCCACCTTCTCCAACCTCTTCCTGGCCCTCGCCGACATTCCCAGAGTCATCCGAGTACACATAGGTAATCCCTTGGGCCTCGACCTTCATCATTTCGACCTCTTTTTGATAAGCTTGCGGAAGGAAAGAAAAGTCGATCGACGGATGAGCCTCCCATAATCTCTTCACGAGGAAGATTGACGTCTCTTAGGATCGAGTAGTGACGGCTTCGCTCAGCTCCTCAATCCTAAGCCTGAGTTGCTCGGCCTCAGCTTCAGCATTTTGTCAACCTACCATTTCCTCGGTAAGGTCGAGCGAAGCCTTCTTGAATTTAGCTTCCCAGCTCGCTGCTGCTTTCTGGGCCAAGGAAAGCTTAGAGTTTAGCTTGTTGTTGGCTCCTCGCTGCTGAGCCAAGCTCTGGTTGACCTCCGCTGCCTTAGCTTCAGCCTTACTCCAAGCAGCCTCACTCGCCTTGAGTTTGTCAAAGAACTCCCTTTCCTTGACCCCAAAAGGCCGCAATTTCCTCTTTAAGGCGCTCATGCTCGGCTTGCCTAACCTCTTTCTTCTTCTTTAAAACCTTGGCCCTGGCTAAGACATCCTCCTTTACCGTCTCTGCCAGCATCCATCCCTTGTGAGTTCCTTCTAAGGTTTGGTCGCATTCTTCGTACAGGAGTCGGCTCGCCATGGCAACCTGAAAACGAAAAAGGTGAGTAGCGAGCAAGAAACAAAAATAGCATTAAAAAAAGGGAAGCGAGCTACCAATACCTTTGCTGCGTAGCTGCAGGTTAAGGCTAATATCTGTGAGGGAGCTAAGTCCCTGACGATCGCGAATGTTTGTCGGGTGATGTAATCCCTGGCCACCGCGACCCCAACACCGATATGGTCAGGGAGTTGGTTGATCATATCGTTGACTTCAACCTCGGTTGCTTCGCCCGTCTCCCCATCCTTTGGCTTGGACGAGCTAGGTCTACTCCCCCCTAGAGTAGCTGCCGCACCCGTAGGGGCGGGCTTCTTCTTGGTTGCGTTTTTTGTCGTGCTTTCCTGAAGGCTGCCAACATGCATGGCGACCTCTTTGCCCGAGCCCCCATGAGGCTCAGTCACCTTCTTCTTCCCTGAGCCATCGTGCTGCTCGGGTGCTTTACCTTTTCTTGAGCCTACAGTTAGCCTAGACGTCTTTTTCGTTGGCCCCTTAGAGGGCTCGGTGGTGTTCTTCTCACCAACTGCCTTAGAGGCGGCTGTAGATTTCTTTACGCTTAGGCCTTCCGCAAGCTCGCCTCTAGCGCTTTGTGCCGGTAACATCCACAGGCTGTTTTGTCACCAAAGTAGCCAGCGCCTTCTGGGCAGTCGACGCTGTCGCTGTTTTTTTCTTAAGGCCCTTAGGTTTTTCGACCCACATTTCTGCAAGGAAAAAGGGAAACGAGTTAGCAATCAATTTGCGTGAGAAATCAAACGCGAGCAAGCAACAACTTACATTTTTCCAAAAGCGTTAAAAATCTGGCCTTGTCCCTAAAAAAGTTGTACACCTTTAGGTGAGGAAGCGTAAGAAGCTCGTGGACATTGTGCGAACTGTCAGAAAGATCGCTAAAATGCTACAGCCTTTGCAAGCTCGCCGCAGGGAGATAGTTCTGCTCGATGTTAACTACAACAGAAAGTAATTCGGTAAGATAATGAAGCAAAGCTCAAAATTCATCCTCACGTACGCGAGTGACCATAGCCTTACTCACTTCCGAAGTAAAGACACTACTCGTTTTGACTTCGTAGAAGAAGAATTGGGAATCCCAGTGTGGGACCTTCTTCGGGATATCGATCAGTCCGTTGAAACATACTTTCCTCGCCTTGGAAAGGTAGTACGTCTGGCCTTGCCCCTTTTTGAGCCTGTACAAACTCCTCGACGAACGGCTCGCCTAGCTCAGCGATCATGTACGCGATATATACCACGATCATGATCAAGTAAGAATTGGCCATTAGTTGGAGATGAGCGATGTCGAATCTCCTCAACACTTTATCGATGAAAGGGTGCGGGGGAATGGATACCCCGCACCTGAGGAGAGTTTTGGAAGTTGCCACCCATCCGGCTAGAGGGTTCTTCCGAGAGTGTTCTCCCGGGGCCATTAGGTTCAGCTGCGGCGCATAGGTCGCCTTGATGCTTTCAAGATCCTCGAGGGTGATCAAGGATTGTGGCTATTTTCATAGCCTGTGAGCTGGAGATGGCGGGGATTGAGCCAGTTGGATCGAAGCACGGTCAAACAAGCTCGCAGTGTCGGGGTCTAAGCTTCTGGCAACAAACTCTTCGGATATCTCGCGGGACACATCCCCTAGTACAGCCGAGCCAACTGGTGAATCAAACATTTGATCTATTGTGCAACTACTAGACGAGGACATGGTTGTAGCTCGACTCTGGGTACTTGAAAAAAGAAGCGAACATGTGTTAGAGCTTGAACAACTTGGCGACCATTCCACATTCGCTTCCATCTCAGGCACCCAAAATAGCTTGCGCAACACAACAAAGTCATAAACCCTACTAAAACCTTAAAACATCCAATGTGGTCACTATGGCAGCCACCCTTTAGCACAAAAGTTAGAAAAATGAGCAAGGAAGAGAAAGAAGTCTTACCGGAATAAAGGAGAGCGCTGAGAACTCGTAAGAAAGACCACCGCGATGATGCAAGAGCAACGACAAAGAAAAGCAACAGGGTGGAAGAACTCTCAGAGTGGCTGTTCTTAATATTCGCCATATTTTATAGTGATTTTTGCATAGAAGACGAAAGGGCGAAGTTCAATCTCGACCATCGACTCACAACTGATCCTAGCCCTTCATTCGTTAAGCAATCTCAACCCTTGGACGTGGCCACGTGTCGACCATCTACGTGTTGTGATGAACCGTTGGAAATGATAACTGTCACTGCACGATGCCTCAACTTCGCGCGTGAACAACTATTATTGCCCATGCGCGACGAAACGTAACTGACAAAGGCTGTCACATTTAATGTGACACGACAACGCAAAAATTACATTTATACCCTGACTCTTTGTATTCTGAGTTTTGACAAGTGGCACAGGTAATAATGTCCAAGTGTGAAGAACGTCGACCAAACATAAGGTCGGTCGTGGAAGCCCGATCGAGCATGCACTCAGAGACTCACGATTGAAGTCGAGCTTTGCGTCAGATCGAGCGATAGTCTTCGAAGTCCAAAACAAGCATCGAACACTAGGGGGCAGATGTTGTGTGTGGCTTTTCCGCCAAGCTCGAGCTAACGCGAGGATATAGCTCGGCCTATAATGACCTCGGCAACTATGATTGATCGACCCAGCATAAACTCGTCAAGCCTTAGCTCGACCCAGCACAAGCTAGTCGCAGACAATCTTAGGAATTAATCAATCAATCCCCAGATTACTTCAGATCCTGGATATCGCGGGAATGACTAGATCAACAGTTATCTTTGCGCGACCATAGCGCTCAATCGCAAGGATATCGAAATTGTGATTCAAATCATTTGTAATCCCCTTAATTTCGCTTTTTCCTTTATGTAAATCTTGTATATGTACCCCCTAAAACGATGAGGAGGGGGATACGAATTTTGGATTATAATTATATTGTACGCTCTCACAACATATACACAAAACACAGTGGACGTAGGCAGTTAACTTCGCCGAACCACGTTAAAAGTTCTCTTTGTCATTACTTTCTGACATTATCATTCACTCATCACTGATTACCCGTAATCACGCCCACATCAATTCCGATCCCGACAAGGTCGATTGGATCTTGCTGGTTGGTGCAGATTTCTGTATCAACAAAATCCAACATTTGTATATAACATTAGAAATATTAGGTGGTAATAAATTCAAGATCTCTTATAAATTAGGTCTATGAACGATGATAAATATTCTCAAATTATGAATGATCTTGTTACTGTTCACCTTTCTTGAGATATGTTAAGCGAGTTTAGTGATAATCAGAAAAAGTATGGGGGAGATAAGATTATGCTTATGAGGGATAAATAAAACTTTTTTTTTTTTTTTTAACATTTTCCTAGCTAAAATATCGGGTACGGGCCCGGGTCATTTAGCCCAAGAAAAAACGGAAAACCTCTTCGGCTTTCATTCCCTGACCCTCTCGAAGGGACAGATAACAGAAGCGCAAAGAGATCATCAACATCAATGGCGCAAATTCCAAACTTGGACAACGCTCCATTAAATCTCAAATCAATCAGGTGCCCTTTCTTCATAAATTCAATACACAGTCCCCTATAATCATTATCCATACTTGTTGTTTCGCAATTTATCTTGTCGTTTAATTTTACAGAGAGCAGTCTCAGAGAGAGCTCGTAAACATACTAAAAAACGTAAGCTACACTGATCACAGTTTTATCTACAAGCATTGTCTATGAAATGCTCTCTTTATCGATATAATTCTAGCTCGATTCGGCGTCGTTTTGTATTTGCAGATTCGAGGCAAGAAGTGTTTGGTCATTGATCCGAAACTTAGCGGCTCACTTTCTTTGATCGTGCCTACATCGACACTTAAGGCAATTCTCTTTAGCTGTTAAAGTTTTAGTTATGTTAATATCTTAGGTGAAAAATTGTGATTTTTGGTCTGTGTGTTTGATTTGAAAATTTTTTAAATGCTAGTTTAGGAGAGTAACGTTTATGTTAACGATAAATAGGAGTATGGCATCGAATTGCGGATTCTTTCAGCTGAACCAGTTCAGACTGATTGCACGAAAGTGGTTTATTTTGTTCATCCACAGCTTGATTTGATGAGATTTATCAGTTTTCATATTCGTGATGATGCTTCAAAAGGACTTCAAAGAGAGTACTTTCTTTATTTTGTTCCACGTCGTGCAGTTGCTTGTGAGAAGGTATTGTTATTCATGTTTAATTCAAGCGGTATGATGTTAAGTATTTAAGATATTGATTGAACATGCATTCACTTTACAACCAGTTGAAAGATTTTAATTTTGATTTTTTTTTCATAATGTAGATACTTGAGGAGGAGAAAATTCATAACATGATTACTATAGGGGAGTATCCACTTTACATGGTTCCACTGGATGAGGATGTATTGTCATTCGAACTTGACCTTGCTCTCAAAGTATGAAGAATATGCCTGTACTTCTTTCCTTTTCTTAATAGTATTTCAAAGTAGAATAGTTTCCTATCAGTATAAGCTTGTGACGCATTATCTATATTTAACTATTGATTTGATAGGAATGGCAAGTTGATGGTGATGCAAGTTCACTTTGGCATATTGCAAAAGCCATTCACAAGCTCGAGGTTTGTATGGTTTACATTTTGGAGCCTTAGAACTATTTTATTTGATAAGATTGTTTCAAGAATGATTTTGTTTAGTTTAGGTATTACTCAATCAGTTAATTATGAGTTTACATTTAATCTTTATGTTATGCAGTTTACTTTTGGATTAATACCAAATGTGAGGGCCAAAGGAAAAGCATCAGTACGTGTTGCAGATATTCTAAATCGCATGCAAGCAGAGGAACCAGTCTCTTTATCTGATGTAATGTGGTGGCTTCAAACTTTTTGAGAAAGTTAGTTTTTATAGTTGCTTTCTGTTACCTACGTATGTTTTCTAGCTTATACTGATTACTTTGTTCACGCTTCAGATGAGCATGCCAGAGATAAATACACTCATCCTTATCGATAGGGAGGTAACTATGCTTATCATTGCCCATAGATATTCATGCTTGTAGTTATTTATTTGAAATAAATGTAATGCTAGTTCCATATTCCTTTTTCTTTCTCAAATTTTCTTTTCTTTTATGAACTTTATAAGAAAGTTAACTTGGTGTGCATGAGTAGAATGAACAGTAAGGGGATGAAACATTAACAATTAATAAAATAGTTGATTACAGTTAATACATCTATGACATAATGAGAAAGAGTTTGTTAAATTTAGAAAATATAGTATGTACGAGTATTCTTTAAGTTTAACATCTGATATAAACCTTAAGGAGGCCAAAAGTTGTTACCACTAATAACTTAGGAAACCACAAGGTGCAGCACTGTGCATTGATCTTAAAGGCTGTATTTTAAATCCTTTAAAACTTGTCTTTAATTTTTTTTTTTTTGTTGGCTGATGAAAGCATCAATAGTAACAATTATTCTTGCTTCCTGATCAGTTTTTATTAGTGGACTCTTGATCCACCTCTCTATTACTCGCTCTAATGTTAATAAAATATTCTTGTTTCTTATTAAAAACATAGAAGAATTGCAAATAGTGGTGTTTCCTTTTAGGTCTTGAGTGCTTTTATGATATCATTTATATATAAATATTCTTGCCATAACTTAAAATTTACTATTCCATGGTTGTAGGTTGACATGGTTACTCCCATGTGTTCTCAATTAACATATGAAGGGCTGTTGGATGAGGTAAGCTGATGGAGTAGTGGAGTAATTAAATTATGTGATTTACAATTTATTAGATCTTTGGATGCAGGTTGTATCATGATCTTAATATGAGTTTAATCAGTTGTTATTGGAAATATATGTGGAGTATTGAAGTTTCTCCTGAGTCCTTCTTCCTCTTAGTGGTCCTTGTACTAGTTAACCTTGTCAGGCAAATGAGCTAATTTTTATCTCTAGAACATAAACTACTAATAAAAAGATTAGTGATCTAGTCATCTCATATATAAATATACCTGGAAATGTAAGATGATTGAACCTAGTGCTCATTCAATATCTGATAATTCTATTTTCAATTTCTTAAAGCTAAATCTTCAAGGGAAAATGTATACCTATATGTTCCCAAATGATATTTAACTTGAGCTGCCTTTTGTTTCTAATGATTGGATTTTGTTACAAGCCATTTCTAATAGCTTCAGTACAGTTTCTGCATATTAACAATGGTTATGTGGAGCTTGATGCCTCAATTATGGGAATGCAACAACAAGAAGGAAAAAAGATCAAAGTTCCACTTAATTCAAGGTGAGCTAGCCTCTGGTTGATATAACACATTTTCCTATGTGATGCAAGCACATTTCTTGTGGTTTTCATTGAGCTATTCGTGGGTTTTGGGTTGACTCGGATATGAGTTTTAGACACACTTTTAGTGACGTTGGGCAGAGATACAAACAGGAAAATTAGTATGGCTGCTGTCAGGCTGAGATTCTTAATAACTCTTCCTGTCTTTCATGAGCTTAGTGGATAATGATTTGGTGGATGGACTGACATGACCCTTTTCAAATCTACTCTAGAACAAAAACTTATCTTACTTGGATAATTATGACTGTATGCTTTTCTTTATTTAATTTCTTTATTTCCTCTCTCTGCTCTCCCTTTTATTCTGACTTGACTTAATGATTAATTTAGTGACAAGCTATTCAAGGAGATACGGGATCTCAACTTTGAAGTTGTTGGCCAGGTTTATCTGTTTTTACTTTTTTCTTACAAGAAAATATCTTTCCTTCTTTCAATTCAATTTCCTTAGTTACCATTTGCAGTAAGATTGCAGGTTCTACGTCAAAAAGCGACATCCATGAAACAGGACTACACTGAAGTGACTACTACAGTAAGTGTATAGTTTGGCATTTAACTACTCCAGTGCTTAACTGTTTTAATCTTAATGATGTGGCTGTTGCCAACTTGAGTAATTGTCAATGAAACTAATTTGGTTTTATATAATAGTAGTTGAGTTCTATAATGAGAGAATCTTGCCACAGAGTTTCTTTCAACAACTTGGGTTGTAGTTGCATGTAAGCCAAAAGAATGATGCCTTTAATTTTTAGGGGGATAATGTACCAAATGATGTCTTATTGAACTTTTGATTCCATAGAGCAAACCTGTTACATCACTTTTGCTATAGTTGAAAGCTACTGTTAACACTTTGTAATGGAGTGTAATGTGATGGTTATAGTCCCAGACAGTTTCGGAACTAAAGGACTTCGTCAAAAAGCTCAACTCATTGCCAGAAATGACTGTAAGTTTTTTCCTTTAAATTCGGCTTTTACCTTTCTAGAGTTACTGTGCTCTTTCTTGAAATGCTCCAAGTTTAAGATTCTAACTTGGTTCTGGTATTGCTTTAGAGGCACATAAATCTTGCTCAGCATCTATCAACATTCACATCAAAGCCGTCGTTTCTTGGACAACTTGACATGGAACACACAATCATTGAGGGTCAGAGTTATGAGATGTAAGCTGAATTTATACTTCTGCCTGTAATTACTAGATTGAAATGTTAGGACTCAGGTTGCATTTGTCTGCCAAATGCTAGTTCACTGTCAATGTTTGCTCATATCATGTATTGTTTCACAATGACTAACTCAATTCTTTTTTTTTCTGCTCCATTAGTACATTCGATTACCAAAGATTTATTTTCTTGTACTAGGAGAAATTGCTCTTATGTAGTTAAGATGTCATCTTCCCGTTCCTTTGGTTGATTACATTGTGATTATTACTATTTTTAAGTAGAATAAAAAGTGAAGTGATAAGTTATGTGAAAGGGAGAGAAGTGCGGCAGCATTGGCTTTTCTTTTATCTTATTTCTTGATCCTCTTTTGCAATTTAACAAGGCTAAAAGTGACACTGAGATTCTTTTTCTGAAACTCATCCTGAACAGTCTATAGATTTATTGTTTTGGACTAGTTGATGGAGGTCTGTCATTTGAAAGTCCACATCTGAATATTGAAGAACCAATAAAATCATAAATTTCAGCTCACTGAAATTTTCATATTTTTAGTATTATCTTTATTAGTTTATCAAGATTCATGGTTTTCTACTTGTTTAAAATTTGGTTTATTGATTGATAATCACCTTGATTCTTAGTTTCTGAAAGCATGGAACTCATGTTGATACTGAATGCAGATGTTCTGAGCACATAGAAGAAATTATCCATAAGCAGGAACCCCTTAATAAAGTCCTGCGACTTCTGATCTTATTTTCTGTTACGAATTCAGGGTTGCCCAAGAAGCAATTTGATTATCTGAGGCAAGTATCTTGAGCAGTATACTATATAGCTCTTATTCATGACTTTTCTAAATTTATTGACTATGTCACTTTGTGGCTATTTTTATTTGTGCACCAAAATGAATTTGGTATTTTTATTCATGGTTTAGGAGGGAGCTACTCCACAGTTATGGATTTGAGCACATGGCTACATTAAACAACTTAGAGAAAGCTGGATTGCTCAAAAAACAGGTTTAGAATTATTTGAAGTCATAATTAAGTATTTCTTTTGTTTGCAATAGTAATATAATCATCAAGTTGATCAGAATTTAGCAAATTATTTAATTGATTGTTCATATTCTGAACGCTGCAGGAGTCGAAAAGCAACTGGCTGACAATCAAGCGTGCACTGCAACTTGAAGTTGAAGATACTGATACGGCAAAGTATTATTCTTCTTGATCAAGCAATCTTCTTCTGTTACTTAATACTTCTATAATGTTTATTGAGTTATCTTCTTGATAAGAAAATATAGATCATCGACCACCATTTGTGGTGGCTTCATGGCCTTCCTTGATACTGACCTGGTATAACATTTATTAGTATGCTAAAATGCTCATCTGTGGTCAAGCAAGTGAGGATTGATAGATTATTTGTTTTTCTTGACTTTGCTCCTGCAGTGTAAGGACATGTCCTGCAGGATTTTGCGTTCAGTCTTTCTTCCCTTCTTTTTTCTATTTTAACATTTTCTTTCTCAAATTTTAATCTGAATGAAACGTTGTTCTGACTGGTCTGGTTTAGGCATTGTAGAAACTGTAAAAACATAGTCTCTTTTTCTTTTTTTTCATTATTGGTCATCTCTATTCTTCAGTGTTGCTGAGTTGCAGTTTCTACTGTATGATATGGATTATGTCTTCACCTGTTCACTATATAAGTTGGCAACGTATAATTTATTTACTTCTAAGCATGATATTGTAGATGAAGTAATTATGACTTTATGTTTTCTAAAGTACTCATCTTTCTTATTTTTCAAGTTTTTTTTTTCTTATTCTACAGCCCCACTGATATTTCTTACGTCTTTTCTGGATATGCACCGCTTAGTATCCGCCTTGTTCAGAATGCTGTTCGATCTGGATGGTGAGGATACTTCTGTGTGTTTTAGTTCTTGTTATCTTGTTGTGAGCTGGCCAGATTATTGATTCTAATTCTTGTATTTCTGTTTGACCTATTTTTTAGTTTCTGTGAGTGAGAGAAGATGAAAAACTAAAATTTTCATTCTTGATGATCTTGTTTAATTCTGCTTCTTGTTACTTTTTTTGTTTTTTTCATTGTTTTATAAAAAACAGAAGGATTTTATTAGGAAAAAAGAAAATCAAAAGATGTACAAATAGGTGAACTAGCTCTGTCCACATGGGGAACAAAAAGAGAACCTGTAAAGATTTTTCATAATTTTTGGAAAAGATTAATTTGTTGAGTGAATAAGACGTTTAATGGTTATGTTTTCTGTGATCTGGTGTGAACATCATTTATTTGGGTTTAAGGTGTCTGTCACATTTCTATACTAGATGTGATATAATATGTTTGTCTCCATGTATGATCTCTCAGCTGCATGGTCATGTATGGGTATGTAATAATCTTCTAGATGTAAACATATGGTACTTGCATGAAATAACTGACAAAATCATATTAAATCATTTAAAAAATGCCGTGGATTTGCATATATCCTTTCTTTGGCTATATACTTTTCAATTGCTTTTTCTTATCAAAACATACATATGTATATGTTGTCATTTGAAAAATTAAAAAAATATTGTGCTAAACATCAGGTATGAGCATTTGGCCAATTAGCCTCTTTCAATTTCAAGGATGTACTTCGTAATATATGTCATTCTATATGTGACTTTATAGATGACCTTTTGCTTTTCAATATGATCACCCTCAGGCGTCCTATGGAAGAAATTTTGAAGCTGTTACCTGGACCACATATGGAAATGAAGAGAGTGAGTACACTTCTCTTTTTGTTTGACTCATTTTCTGGGTCTTTTTTTTTTTTTTTTTTTTTTTCAACGTCGTTTTAACAATTTTAAAATTTTCACAAGCTGCTATTTTATACTGAATAAGTAAGAAAATCTTCCTTTTCTGCACGCCCCATTCTTCCCTCCTCTCTCCATGCTTGTTAGATTTCAAGTACATGATATGTACTACTATTACTAATAATCTTGAACCTTTATTAGGGTGGGTTCTCGAGCAGTCCATCATCTGACATGTTGCAGGGGCCCCTGGGCTCTATGGACAAGTAAGTGAATTTTTCAATCAAAAAATTGGGATGCTACTCAAATGGTTATTCTGTTCTGATTTATAGGAACATAAAGCATTTGATTTGTATGTTTCTTTTAAACCTTAGTAATTCTACTGTAACTTAAACGGAATAAAATATTGTGACTAAAACACATCTTTCTAGCTCACTTTTAATTTTAATTATCCAATCTGTATATTTAAGGTCTTTGGATCTCATTTACTATTATTATAATACTACTAAACGTGTTTCAGATTAGCTGATGGAAGGCGCTCTCTTGTACTTGTAGTCTTCATCGGAGGAGTAACATTTGCAGAAATTGCCACGCTCCGGTTTCTCAGTGCACAGGTACCTCAACTGCTTTATATATGCAATCTTGTTAGGCAAAAGCAGTGATTTATGTTTAATGAAATGCCAAAACACCATGATGAGTCTTTACATGCATTCGGACAACTCTTTTTGACAAACCTTTACTCTTTGCTGACCAGATGGCCGACTTATTGATTTTGTTTCCAGATTGATGAACAGCTACAATAAGCGTCACTGTGTATTTACTTCTACTGCCTCTAATGCTTCATTGAACTTTGTTGCTTACAGGAAGGGATGGCGTATGATTTAATCGTCGGAACCACGAAAATTGTGAGTGGCAATAGCTTGGTAGAAACATTCATAGAGAAATTGGGTTGACTTGTAAAGTTGTGGATCATCTCGTGTTCCTGAAGCTGACTGTGTTTTCTACATTTTCTATTTATTATCTTAATGTTTTATTGGGTTAAAAAATGAGTTTTGTTGCCATGATTTCAAGCAAATTTTAGGAATGTTTAGCCGATACTAGTTGTAAAGCTGTCTCTCTCTCTCTCTCTCTCTTTTTATTTTTTGAGTAATTTATCCGATGTATTGATTTTGTGAGGGAATATTACTTAACGAGTTGTTTGTTTTTTAATGGTTTGAGTATTCACTTTCTACACCTCGATGAAATTTCATTGGAATTAAATTACTAATTTGTTCTTTTTCTGGTTATCATTTCCATCATGATTTTATTTTAAAACATAAAACGGATGAAACGTCAATACTTTGTGTCAACAGATAGGGGCATTAATCGTTGGGGCAAAACTATAGATTTAATTATACTCATAAAATTGACGTATGTTAAAGATCTATACAAAATACAAATCACCCTCGTATATTATTATTACCAAAACAGAATTCGATTAAATATTATGCATATAAAAATAAAATCCTCTTATAAAGATGTATGTCCATAAAATGATGCAGCAAATATAAGTGGAAGAATGAACATAAAAATTAACTTATCAATTAAAGTTTATTAACCAAAGAGGAATGATATGTCAATTAAAAAATAATATGACATCACATCAAATTAAAAGATAATATTGCATTATTTTGTATATATATCTTTATATAAACACTTCGTGTGTAGATTACCATACATAGAATTTAAAATAATTGCAAATATTTGGTCAGTCCTCAATATGTCAACCAGCAATAATGAAGATGAAAGTCCTAAATCTGGCTTTGACAATCGACACTATAAACTCCAGAAAACTTTAATTTATTTTTCGTATAAAATTTTGAAACATAGGCCATAGCCATTGTTAAGGGCTGACACCAAACCTGATGACAAATATAAAATAATATTATATTAGAGATGGTGGTTGGGGTAGGTTTTATATCAACTTCATGCCGCCAACAAACACAATCTCAATCTCAATCAAATGATTTTCTTAAAGAACCAAAAAGTCTACCAAAGAATCCGACTTTTATACAACATGAATTCCAAATTCCTTGTTATAAAATCAGAACAAGCCAACGGTACAAAGACTTTTTAGCTATCAATAATCACATAAATGTAAAATCTATACCTGTTTCTACATTTAATAACATCAACAAAGTTACACTGGTTGGCTACAGAATTACCTCATTTCTCCACAGTTGTCTTAAAGCACCTAAACAAAATATACAATAACTTGCTGGAATTTTAAAAGCACCTGTGTATTGAAAGTGGTTTTTGCTGCCCCTTCTTGCACAACACCAGGCCTTCCAACTGCTACCAACTTTTGGTAGTAAAGAGTCTTCTCATCTGTGTCGACCAATTGATCCATGCCATCCATGTATAACTTGAACACACTTTATGAAACACTCGGATGAATATAGGCACCTTCATTGAAATATACAGCTTCAACATCTATGTTCTCTTCGCAATGTTCTGAAATGTTTGTATAAGTTATTGCTTTTCATCGCAATGGCAGCACTGTAAGAATTTAAGAAACATGAATAACATCATCAGTCCGTTGGAGGAGTTCTAGTATACTTCCAGCTTTTCTCTTCGCTCTATCAGTACCACTCTCCGACAGTTCCTTCAATGCCTCTTCTGCATCAAGCTCCCTGGCAATTTTTAACTGTTCCAAATCACCAGTGCATAGAGACCATAATATTGCCGAAGCATTCTCCCTGTTGCGTGGGGAACCAGTTTTTATTACGTCAATCAAAACTGGAATTGGTTCAACCTGACCAATTGCTGTCTTCCCTTCTTGATGACTTGCAAGAATAGCCAGAATTGCCAATGCTTCATCCACCATTCCACCTCCAGCATCCTTCAGATATCTCATCAGCGGTGGCACTATGCCAGCCCTAACAGCCCTCGCCTTGTTTCCCTGATAGATAGAAAGATTAAAAATTGCAGTGGCAGCATCCTTCTTTCCTCTTGGTGTCCCTTCACAAAGTAATTTAATAAGAGCAGGGATCGCCCCAGCTGCTCCAATTGACACTTTGTTTTCATCTATAACGGACAAACTGAAAAGGGTTGCAGCTGCGTTTTCCCTGGCCTCCATACTGCCATTTTTCAACACATCTACTATATCAGGTATCGCTCCGGCATTTACAATTGTTCCCTTGTTAGTATCGTTTATGGAAAGGTTAAGCAGTGCTGTTACAGCATGCTCCTGGGTCCGAGGATCAGTGGAGGATAATAGCTCTACAAGAAGCGGTATGGCTCCCGCATCGGCAATACACACTCTATTATCTGCATTCCTTTTTGCCAGCAACCTGAGCTCACCAGCAGCTGCTCTTTGCTCTTCCAATTTTCCATATGCTAATTTCTCTAACAAGGCAACTATAGCAGCTCGATCACATTCAGAAACACTGCTTCCTGGTTTTTTGCTTCTACATGTCCCTTGATTTTTAGGAAGCTCAACACCGTTGCTCTCACACCACAAAGCAATCAGACTTTTCAAAACATAGTTAGGTGTTAATGCTGTGTGCAGCAGTGTCTGCTGTGTTTTGGGACAGGTTTTGTGCCCTGCGTCCAACCACTTCTGAATGCAGGATCTTTCATATGTCTGCAAATGGAAGTAGAATAATTTATTAGTAAAAGCTATTAATACAACTTCAAAGCTATGGAATGCTAAATGCAGTGAGAGTTAAACCTGTCCAGTTGAGACGATCACAGGATCTTTCATCAATTCAAGAGAAATAGGACAACGGAAATCATCTGGGATAACAGGCGATCTGTGTTTAATTAAGCCCTTCTCACCATCAGAGATGTCAACTTCTGGGTTTTCAATCAGCACAAAGTCCTTTAGCTTCTTAAGCAGGGTTGATACATTCTCAAAATATTCTCCGGGATCTCCACCACTTGAAATGACCAATTCATGGAAAGCAACGGACTCTCTTTTTAAATCATTGATAGTTCTAAGTTGCAGCTTTTCTGAAAGTCTTTTTAGCACAGTAGGATCAGGGTCTTTTTCTTTCTGTGCTATTGCTAAATCAAGTTCCAGTTGTACATCAGGTGAGTCGGGTCTTCCTTTCGCTCTTTTGAATTGAATGTGCACAAGTTCAATCTGAAAAGGGAAGGGGGAACATGTAATACTAGTCAACACTTTGTAAATCATTGGATGCTACCGCTACATTGAGTTAAAACTAATTTCTGACCAAGATCTCTCTCTGAAAGTAGGCACAAAATTCAAAGGACACAGAAAAGTAAAGAACTCTGGCATATTTTCAGCTAATTTTTCACAAATCACATGAGTTTTTGAGATACCTGTTCTCGAACTTCCTCCAATAAATCAAATTTATCATAAGGGATCTCACTTAATGCTGCTTCAATTTGTTCAGTCATTTGCTGAAATTCTGCTGTAATCTTGTCCCTTTGCAAGCACTGTGAAATGAAAGCATGATCAACTCAAAATATAACATAAAAAGTGCTTCATTCACTGAAAATGAAAGAACTTGAGAAAAAAATTATAACTGTTGAAGTTTTGATGATTTCACTTTTTTTCTATAAAGTTCTTGTTTAAAAAGTACATGGCACAAATTTAGGGCATATATTCGCCTGCTCGTATAAAGACCAGTTGATCTCATTCTTATGGATCTTAAAGATAGGAGAAGAAGAAACATAAACCAGTCTTGCACAATAGCATTGTTTCCTATATCTTTAATGAGATGGACCTCAAGCAACAAACATCGTCATAGAAACACACAGAGAAGTAAATTTCGTGCATATAAAAATCGATATCTTTCCCAGGAAAAAATAACAGAAAATGCAGCAAAATAGTTCTCCAACTCAATTCAACAAAACCAGATAAGCCTTAATCCCAAATTACTTGGGGTTAGCTGCATTAATCCTTTCCCCCCCATATCTTACAACCCTAATGATTCTTATTCTTATGAACCCTAAAATTTGATCAGAAAAAAGAAAGGGACGAATATAAAAAAAATTAAGCTCCTTATGAACTCTAAAATGTATGCTCCAAATCAGAAAAATAAGAAATCTTCAATAATTTAAAGCCAAAAGCACAAATAGCACAGAAATTGAAAGATGAAGCGACTCAGGTTTGTAAACTAGTAAACAAGCTCCCAAGACAAATCCGTTGATTCACAAAATTATAACTCCCGTATTGACAGAATTTACTAGAACAATGGTCCTAATAGCTAGCCATTTGGTCTTAAATTTAGTGAGGCGGCAATTCATAACTCCTTAATTCACAAATGTGTGAGAGATGAAGAGGATGCCGGCTAACATGGTCACAGCATGCTGATCTTACAACATCCTTAGTACAAAAGAAGAAGCACAAAATAATTTAAAAATTTCAGTCAAAACATTACTCCAAAAGACTGAAATTTGAAACGGTTCTATGCTTAAATATAAGGTTCCATTTTCTTTTCTTTTCTTCTATATCAATCTCAAAGCAAAATAACACGCAACATTTGCACACAATCGCCATACAAATTCCAACCAAGTAATTTAACAACGAAACAGCTCTAAATGTTAAATCTCAAACTTCAAACAAAAAGCACAATTGAATTCATTGACTTCTATGAGGCTAAAGAAACTTATTTACAACTTCAACAAATGACCTTAATTTTCTTTGCATACGAGAACAACATAAGATACAAATTTAGAATACCAGCTCATTTTTCTTTCTCTTCATTGTTTCATAAACCAAACATAAAGTTTAACCAAGAAAGTACCTGATTAGCTTGCTCCCATCATAGATCGATTGAGAAGTGAACAGACAATCTAAAACAACTCTCACAATTCCAAGCTTTTTATCTCTTCTTCACTAAGCTCTCTGTTGCTATCACTCAATTCCTCAAACAAGGACTCAATAGCTTTATTCTACGCACCAAATTCCCATGCATTTTCTTGAACATGTTTTTGCACTCGGGAACTCGGAACCTCCTTCACTGAGTCAACCATCGACTCTAAACCGGGCCCCGGATTTGTGAGTCCCATAATTCTCTTCACCGAAATTGAACCCACAATCAACAAAAGCTCAAAATTTGAGAGACCAGATAAAAAATTGAAAGAATTTAAAAGATTTTTGTGTATTAAAACAAAAAAGAGATATAATTTTAACCGAGTCAGGCCATAACTTAAACTGAGTCAACTAAATTCAGCCATGAAACAGCCCCAACAGAAAAATAAAAATGGAAAATTGATTCGAGAATTGAAGTTTTTAACGGTCAAAGACTGCCCCAGATAAGAAAATAGAGTGAATTGAAAAGGGTTTTGTTGATTAAGAAAGAGAGAAGTGATTCAACAAGAGGAAGAAAGGAACGTTGGCTTAAAGAGAGAGAGAAACTTTCAGGGTTTAACAAAAATTTTTTTGTAAGATTAAATTTAAATATTTTATAATGAAGTGATTACTGGGTCTACTTGTTTTGCGGTTAGTGTTGGAAGAGTAAAGGGTGAAATGAGATCATTATGACTACCTAATTTGAATTTCTTTCTACTAATTTATGCCAATTCTTTTCGTAATTTCAGTTTCTAACTGCATATATATTATATATCGATATATATATATATGTGATAAAATTTGTTAAGATTTTTATCCTTTTAAAGTGGATATATTTTTGGAATTTATATTTCTATGGGAATATGAATTAATTGATATTTATGATTTTATTAATAATGGTACAATACATACATTATTTATAGAAGAGTTGAAAAATAATGAAAAAATGATCAAAGAATTGGCCAATTTAAGGCTTAATTCTCTGTGTGGAAAAGGCACCTTTGTCAGTTACCGTTAACCCTTTCCGCGTAGAATTGGCAATGGACGGTTGAGATTAATCAACCTAAAGCCAAAGCCACCAAGCTTAGAAATTAATAATTATAATTTTATTACTAGTAAATTCCATTTTTAGAAAGAGTCCTCCAAGAATTTTGAGAGAATTAACATCTCATTTGTTATATAATACGTATTAAGAAAATAGTTAAAAAAAAAAAAAAAAACTGAATATAAATAAAGAGAAGCCAAGAGGAAAGTGGTGAGGTGTAAAAGCGTGTTTGGTGAAGTACATGAACGCGTGGCAGATAAAGTCATCCATTGCCGGCTTCTTCTTCTTCTTCTTCATACACAGACAAAGAAAGACCAAGCCCATTATTTTTCTGGTCGGTAATTCATATCATTACGCATATTCATGGGTCCCATGTTAATCAGCAGATCAGGACCGTCGAACCACTTTTTCTGTTTTTTCTATTATCTTCTATTTTCCTTTCCTCTCTTTTAAAGTCAAATGAGAGTAGCTACGAACGTGCAGTGTTTAGAAACCCAAAACCCAACCCGTGCAGTGACCCTGCCAGGCTATCGGTCCGTGTCCAAAAGTTTTAAATCTAATAAAAATATTCCTAAAAATGATGTAAGTCTAATCTTGCAAAAAAACCCCAAACACCACTGTTGCCACCAATAAATAGGTTTGTTTCTGGCGATGACAACATTTCCCATCACATACTCCCCTCAACCTTCTAACCAAAACTCATCTCACCCCTCCCCACCAGAATAAATAGAGTTTTTTTTTTTAAATCTCATTCGTCAACGATAACGGGTTTTTTTCGACAATATTGTTTTACAATTTCTAGTCGATTCACTTACCGAAAATCGACACCATTGCCACCATTCCACTCACCAATCATTCCTTTTCAAAAACATTAACATTTCTACCTTCAATTGTTCACAGATTAATATCCTAATTTCTAGGGTTTTTAATGAATAAGAAAATTTGTAACCTGACCCAGTGAAGGCTCCAAGTCATGGTTGAACTAGTTCAACCGGCCAAGCCGGACTGGGTTCCTAATCACTACGTACATGTTATTGAAATTCGATAAATTTAGGTAATTAAATTGTATTGTCAAAGGTTAACGATTGTTACTTCACTATAACAACTCTTGACTAAATTCAACATCATCTTTCGTCCCAATACCTAAATAAAGCTATAAACACTTGAATAAATATGCATCAACCAATTCAACTAATCTAATTCAGATCACTATTTTATCCAACCAACATTATTCTATACAATTTTCTGTGTCACATCATTCATTTTAAACCACTTAATTATTTCATGTTTGCCACATACACATCAATTTCTAAAACTTCATTTCCAATTTTCAGTACCTCTGTCTTTTCCCACTTCTGGATCCTCTCCAATTTTCTGGATTGTTATATTAAACTATAACATTATATAATGTAGGCCTTCAAACCATGGGAATGGGATCCACTGCCCAAGGTCATTTGCCTTTAAACTTATCATTAGAAAGCCATGCGGCTGAGTATAAATCGTGATCTTATAGCTGCAACTGAATTTTCAAATCAAACACAGAAGCACATTACAGAACACAGAGGATTATATCACAACACCAATATACACTAAATCTGACACGACAGGCAGGTAGATAGGTTTCACATTACATTAAGAGCTTCAAGCGTCCACAGCTATGAAGTGGATGATGGACGGGGAAGTCGCTTAGCAATTTCCTGGAGAGGGAGAACAATATCGTCAGAACCAATTCACATCTGGTTGTTAAGTTCATGATATACATAACTGAATTTACCATCCCTAGCATAAACTCAGGTTAATCATATATTGAGAGTATTTCTTATAGGCTTAAGATTCGCAGCAATATTTCTCAAGTGACTTTACCATGAAAACGTTAAAGCATAGTTTACCTAAGTCCATGGAGGAAAAGCAACATAGAAAATAATAACAAAAATTTTTTCCTTGGAAGTATATATGCAAATCATTCATCATATTATGTAGTTATGCATTCCAATCAATATTTAAAGATAGTATCAGAAATAAACCTCAGCATGAAGAACTATAATTGGCTAGACGTTAACTAAAAAGAAATAAAGTTCAAAACAAAATAAGTAACAATGGCAGTTAACCAGAGTTATATAAAGAGTTAACAGTTATATACATATACGAATGCAGTTGATATGACCATGTTATATTATGAAAACACAGAGTATACCTCAAACAGCTGATTTATATTATCTGCCGTCTTGGCAGATGTCTCAATAAAGAACATCCCGTTCTTCTCTGCGTACTCGATGCCATCCTTTAAGGTAAAACATTACATGTTAAATTTAATAAGATAAGGATTTGACTCAGCAAATAAAAGAAAATTCTGGGGACACGAAGAAATTTAATACAGCCATGGTGTTTTGCACTCACCTGTGTTGGAACTTCTCGATTCTCATGAAGATCAGCTTTGTTACCAACTAAAGCCATGACTATATCAGGACTCCCATGTTTTTGTAGCTCCTGTTAGATGCTAAAACTAATTACTTATCCAGAAAAAAAACAAAGTAGAAGTGAGACAATTGCAAGTATAACCAAGTTAAATTACAGCTATGGTTATACATCCACAGCACATGTTTTTTGGGTTGGGTTAGGACAGATGACTCAATCAAGTTAGCAAATGTGTATATGATTTTAAAAACCCTTACATTCACATACTCTCAGAGAATGGTTATCCAATTGTTTCATAACTTCGGTCATTATGAAGTGCAATACAGAAAATTGAAAGAATTTCATATTAAAAAAGGCATACACAGAAATAAAAAACTGTAGCAATCCAATGACAACTACCTTAACCCAATATTGTGCTTTGTTGAATGACTCTGGGCTTGTTATATCATACACAATAACTGCAACTGCAGCACCTCTGTAGTACAGCGGTGCAAGTGCAGCATATCTGAAGAAGAAATAGCACAGTTAAAGTGCATTCATGGTGGAGAGAATGGAGGGATAGAGAGTTCTATTAAACAAAGAACAAGACAATTTGAGAATTCCCTATGAACCTACAATGTCATTGATATGTCTATACATGTGGGTGAGTGGCTAAAATACCTTTCTTGACCAGCTGTGTCCCATATTTCAAATTTAACTGTCGTAGAATCTTGCAGAGCTATTGTCTGTGACAAGAATGAAGCTCCAACTGTAACCTGAATTAGAAAAACCAACAAACATGAGTTTTCTTTTTCATTTTTGAAGGGAAGCATTTGAATGAAGAGCGAAAGATATATAAATAAGTAAACAAGCTATCCATCTATATACCAAAAGAATGTTAATGTCTAACCAACCTTGGAAGCCTAAAGAAACTCTTAAATGTGCAGAAAGCATTATAAAAGATAGATTCCTCAAAGCGAAAAAAAAGAAAAAAAAAAGGCAGCTTAAAAGCTAAAAAGTTACAAAACACAACCCAAAAATCATCATCAAGACAGCTACTGTAAACAGAAACAAACAGAAAAGACAAATAAATATGAATACATTTATCACAAAAATATTTCAAGTGCATGTAAGAGATCAGATAGATATTTACATAAACAAAGATAGGAGTTATTTTGAGTAGTGCTATTAAAATCTCAAGGTACAATTAAGTGAGAAATTCTTCAGGAGTTGAAATACAAGCATATACTGAAGCATGCCCCCTGGACGAGTAAAGTGGACGTGGTTAGAGTGCTGTGCTCTAGAAAATTAGATTACAGAATACAATTGAATAAGAAAAATAGAGGCTAGAATCAATAATGATATTAGCCTACTTGCTCAAATGGTTAGAATTTAGTGCACTTGCATAAAAGTTGTAGATCCAAATATCAAAATTACATAGACTAGGCTATCAGCAAGAGTTTTATATACAAATGCGAGAAGAATTATGTATGGTGCAGCCTGCTAAGCATAAAAAAGTGTGCAGATTGAACAACATTGCCTCCATCATACCTTGGATGTTGGGTCAAACTGGCCACGAACAAAGCGAAGAACAATACAACTTTTCCCAACACCTGAATCACCTAATAAAACCAGCTGCACACAGCAAAAGCACGAAAGATTAGCTGCATTCAGTAAAAGAAGAAAAAAAAAATTGACATGAAATATCATTTTGCTAAGTTTGCCATGCTTCATAGAAGGTAGACAGAGAGAAAAATCCTCTCCTTTCCCAGTAACCTTTGTATTCAATTCATCTTGCATCATTATGACCCCATCATAGGTTGGCACTCACATTGAGTCAATTTTTTCAAATGTTGGCACAAGTTTCTAAATATCCAATGCAAGAATGTGATTGTGACACTTATAGTTATAGGAGTGGAGTCTATCAATTGGTTTCTGTAATGAAACAATTCCAAACGACAGAGCAAGTAAATGCATCTCATGTTCTTCTATTTAGCATCTCCTGCTAATCAAGTCTCGACCACCTAACCTTCCACACCTCCTATAGCACCTTAACTATCCAAGAGTAACCTGCAAAAAGAACCTCCTTACTCATACAACTGTTAAAAATAAAACTCCAAAAATTTCCTCCACAATCATGCCACCAATTCAACAACTACCTCTGCAAAGCCTATAACCTCAACCTAGCCTAAGACAAAAGCTTTCAGGCATTTAGCACCCGCCATAGCTGCAAATGTCATTATGATCATGAATCATTACAATAGTGCACTTCAGGGCATCTCCAACAGTGCTATTAACAATAACAAAGCTTGCAAGAACTCCCATAAAGTTGGCATTGTGGCTATTTATACTACACTTCAATGGTGATTGTTAAGCCAATTGGCGCAACATTCTTCAACAACACACCTACATCCCTAACTTTCTCATAGTTCTCCAACAATTCTTATAAATTAATGTTAAAAAAGGTCACAATCCTCTCTCTACAATTTCTTTGTTAGCCATTTCAATTTTCAAGCTGTCAAAAACTATTTTTAGAAAATACAAAATCAGGTTCCACCAAAACAACATCAAACATATATGAATACACCAAAACCAAAAATTTTCACAAAACATTTACCTTAACACGCAGGTTTTTCGCATCAGGTGCCCCACTGCTCTCTGAACCATTAATTCCACTCAACCGCCCAGAATTCCTATCTGCAAACATCCAAAAAAAAAAAAAATTAATTAATTGAATAAATTCAACAAAAATTCCCCGATGGATACCCAATTCCAAACTCCCAATCACCAAAATTCTACCCAATTAGAAAAACCCAAAAACACAATCACAAGTCCCCAATTAGACACCAATTTCACAAATTCTACGTCAAGTCCAATCCTTTCAGCTCAAAATCCAATATAATCAGCTTAAAAACAACAATCAAACCCAAATTGAACAAACCCTAAAACCCAATCACAAATCACAATCCCCAAAACCCCAATTACACACCAACTTCACAAATTAGAAACTCTCCATCAAATCTCATACTTTTTCAGCTCAAAATTCAATCAAACAAACAAACAAACGAAAACATATAATTCAATCAATTTCAGTAACTACGTATAAAAATTTCCTACATACCAGGAAGGGAACCAGAGCAACCCATGTGGCGAATAAGATATTTAACTTGAATTGAATGTAAATAAACGTTCAATTTCAGATAGATTGTAACTGGAGATTTGATTGTGATCGTTAAAGCTGGAACACTGCAATTTCTTGGATTGTTGGTTTCGTACTTCTGTTCTTATTTGTGCTAGATGACCCGATAGGGGGGCTAAACTTCAATATTATTAATTAATTAAAAATGTTTTTTTTCCCCCCACGTAAAGAATGATTAAGTATGATTATTATTTGACTAACTCTACACCAACAACTATTTCTCATAAATTTTCTCTCATAACCTCATACGGCAGCTCGCAATTGATAAGCTTATAATTAATTAGTGAGACTCATATAAGACTCGTTGTGAACTGATTAATTACAAGCTACCACGTCAAGAATGTGAGAGAAAATTTGTGAAAAAGTGTTATTAGTGTAGCGTTATTCTTATTATTTTATGAGTAGTGCTACGTTCACATCACACCTCTACACCATCCTCTTACATCATGGCATGGCAGTTGACATGGGATGCCTCCTCAGATGTCACATCAACGAGTTGCCATGTCATTTCCCTTAAAATGTTAAAAAAAAAAATTGCTAACCCAAAATTTCGAATGCAACTTTTTTCTAAAACAAAACCCTAATTTCAATTTCCTAAATCAATTTAATTTCCCTCAAAAACAAACCCACCCAAATTTCCTTTCAATCTTGAAAACCACCACCACACTCTCCTATCACACCCTGACCAAGTTGCAACCGTCCACCATCCCAAAAGGATTTCACTTCAAATATTCCTCTTTCACCACCACCGCCAATCTCAGCCATCGTCCATAGACAAACGTAGTTGTTCCATGTTGCCTGAGTTCGACGAGTGACTGCTGAGCCGCACCAAGTCACCGAACATCTGATTTTCTTAAGCCTTGGAATAACCCGTCGCATCTTCATCTATACTTTGATAACAGTCATAGGGACCCTCGTGAAGTGTCGTTGCCCCTATTACTTTTTTTTCTTAGCTGCATAGCTATCACCGACATATGCAGGCCATGAAATCGTATACTTTTGTCTCCATTTTGAAGCTTTTCAAGTGGGGATGGCTCCAGTGTATATGACATTCCTCTGTTTTATGGGTGCTAAGATAGAAGCCCGTAATTACAGTACAGTCGGAGGTTGGGGGAAATAGGAGGAAACTCATTTGGGAAAGGTACCACACAAAGCATAAAAGATAGCCACAAGAAGGTTAGAGACAACCATGATGGCCTGATATTTTTGTGGATATACTGACTGTTTGGGAATGATATCATTTAGGAATGTTCTTCATCAATTATGCCAAAGAAAATAGTTTATGTTAATATGTTAGTGTATGCATTATTGCTTTAGATTGTTGCATTTTATACAAAGTCCATGATTTTTGTGCAACTAGTGTAGATTGGTAGGTGTTAGAAATGAAGCCTAGGCATGTTGTAGTTTTTGCACTGTGTAGATTGAGTAGGTGTGGAGGTTGTAGTTTGTTTTTGCAGTTTCCAAGAGGTTTGTGTAGTATGTGCAGGGTGGTGTGTGCTAGAATTGAAGTAGTGATCTGGATGGTGGTTTGTATGGAGCTGCAACGTGATTGCTGCATTTTTTTGTAGTTTCTGGCTAAAGTCTTCAATTTGGTTGTCTTGTTGTTGTGTTGCTTTTGTGTATAAAGATTGTATATGCTTGCTTGGTTTTGTTTCTTTTTGTGTAGTTTGGTCCCTTGGGGCTTGGGCATGTCTAAGGTTCTCGGTTGTAAAAGGAAATCCCCTTTTTAGATTGTAAGATCTTTTACTTTTTAATAAAATTACAAGGTTTACCTAAAAAAAACCTAGATCTTTATTGGTTGCAATTAATTCTTCTCTCTAGCTCCAAAAAGAACAAGCTCCATGTTTGTGCTTGTTTGGTTCTATTTGTATACATTTATTTTGTTTGTGATTGTTTATTACTGTTTAGTTGGTGTGCAAAGTTCAATTTTCCTGTGTTGTTGTTTGAAGATTATAAGGTATAATCAATTGAAGGCAGTAGGTGGTCGGGGAATTGACACTTGGAGTTCTGAGTTACCCATGGTTGATGGATAGATTGGAGAGATACATTAGTTCAATATGCGGCTTGGCCCTATGATGGCAGTTGTGATTAGAAGTGAATCATGGTGGTGTCCATTTCTAGCTTATGAGAGATTACTTGACTAAGTTGTAATTACCGAAAGTGATGTATTATGATAGTATAAATGGTATACCTTGTATTTTATTCCAACTTTTAATGTATTCCTTGTATTTCATTACAAGTTTCACTCTTTAGGGGAGATTACCCTAGTTTTAATGATTCAGTTGTAATTTATTCTCAGATTGCTTGTAATGAACAAAATTGAGGCCTTATGATATGTATAAATTTCACATCGTTATTATCCGTATAAATGCACTACTATTATGCATGGATGGTAATGTAAAACTACGTTGTCTTCCACCTAAAAGGACCAAAAACAGGTAATTTTGGTCAATTAGTATATAACATTTGTTGGGGGGTAACTTGTAATTTTATATAAAGAATAAAGAATATCCTACAAGAGAAAGAAAAAACGAAGCTGCACGCCCCTACTCACAAGAGAAGGACGAAACAAACAATCAAAGACAAGGGAAAAACAGGATACACAACCCTATAGACACCCAATCAAGTCTCAAGAGCAAAACAAAAACCAGTCAGGGGCATCTAAGCACAACAGCCCTTAACAAGTCCCAACAGCATCAAAAAAAAAGTCCCAGCAGTAGTAAGCCCAACAGTAGCTAAAAGACCACCAGTATCAAGCAAAAGGTCCCAATAGTAGCAGTAACAAAAAACCCCAGCAGCAGCCCCAATAGTAATGGAAAAAGGCCCGAACAACAGCAAAACAAAGCCCCAGTAGCAGTAACCCCAACAATAGCAAAAAAGCTCCAGCAACAGCAGCAGATCAAGCTAGTAACAGTAGCACAAACCCCAGTAGTAGCAAACAAATGCCCCAACAGCAGCAGCCCCAACTACAGCAACAAAAGCACCCCATGAGCAGCAGCGAAACCCCAGCAACAACAACAAACTTAAGTAACAACAGGAAACCAACTTTATACATCAAAGTGGGACGAACCCGAACCAGCACGACCCTAAACAAAAGAGGGACAACACCGAAACAAAAACAAACCCAAAGAAGCCAAGATTTACACTGTACACACCCGCCCACCGCACCCCATAAGCACCACAAAAATCAGCCAAATGTGGCAAAATAGCATCTCTCCACAACCAAAAGAAGAACAGTATAAATAGAAAAAAAGAAAGCAGAAAAAACTCTTGAAAACAGGAGCTGCACAAAACCAGCAAAAAGGTCAGGATTAACACCCTATACACCACAACAAAACCCAACAACCTAGCCTCAGTCACCCACAACCTGAAACACCACCTACCCTAACCACCAGACCAGCAATCCAAAAAAGTACCAAAACAGGCAGTAGCCCCCGAGGCGAAGCACCACCTAGAAAAAATTGAGTCCCCCATAGCCATCCCTCTCCCCAACACCACAGCAAACCAGCAACAATAACCTGCACAACACTACATCTACACAACATAACCCAAGACTAACAAACCATCCATAACCAAAAAGAAACACCGCTTCACAACAAAATCATAGAACCACCCAAAATGCCCAGCCCTAATCACCCACAACCCAAACTCCACCTACACAAACGACCAGACCAGCAACCACAAAAGCCACCAACAAATGGCCAGGGACAGTAGAACACCTCCTATATTACACACACCCCAAGCCCCCACGACCTCACCAACCATACTAACCCCCAAGACCCCTCCCAAACACACTTCTTGGGTAATAAAAATCAAGGATTTACAATCCTATATATCAGCGAGCTAGTCTCGTAGAGGCCTAAAACAAGTAGACCAGCAGCACAAAAATGGATGGCCTTGTGACAAAGCAAAAAAACAATCTACAGAAATATACACATGAAGTAGCCATAAAAAGTTACCCGCTGCATATCAAAATGGATTTTTCTACTCGTATAATATATTGTTGCTATATACAAGTCAAAAATTATGATTGCTTGCAAGCAATTTTCTACATTGTTACTAACGATCAGCTCCTATACATCTCCAAGTGATGGCCTCAAACTTACTAACATTTCATTATAACCTTGGCCAGTGAAAACACAATAACATTAATTTTTGACAGTAAAACAAGGTTCTAGTTACAACAAAAACATCGTATAAATTAAGTGATTCTTACCTAACTTAAAACATGAACTCCTGCATCACGATTGTGGACGTTAATATCATTTACATTAGCTTCATTTGATTCTTTTGACTCTTGTGAACTCTCACCCTGCAATTAAATATAAATTAAAAGAGTTGTAGACATTAATGATGTAAAAGTTACACTCACTTGGTTAAGCAATTTCTTCTCTTTTCGAACAATTTGCTTGACCTTCCATTGTTTTCTTTTGAATGGAGATCGACCTTTAGAATGAACAGCTTATGGAGTCATGATTTTATTGCTAACTTGTATAGAAGTGCAATCAACACTATCATAGTTAATTTTGCTTTTAGATGCACCGTAAACGCTTCTATCAATCCCCTCAACATTGTCATTCAACAATAATTTCTTTTTCATGTCACTAATCATTTGCATCACCATATTACAATCATCAACACTAGTTGATGCCAAGTTTACCATGTCACTAAATGAATTAGACAATTAGTCAAATCGTTCACCTTCAGCACTAGTGCTCCAATTATTATAACTTACCCTAATTTTGTGTGGCATCTGAATACATTTTTGCTCCAAAGCCTTAAAATGTATTGTTCTGGGATATGAGAAATTTTGTTATGTATCAACACTGCAATTGCATGTCGACATAAAATCCCTCTAAACTCAAACAATCGACAATTGCAACGAACCTCAGAATAATGTTTCTCAGACCAAACCACAAACAGAATCTGAAGGTACGTCTCTCAAACTATTACATCTTCCTTCACAACATATTCAATTTTGGACTCCATATCATTCAAAGAATATATCTCATAGTGGAGCTTACGTGCAAGCTCTTTTTGAAACTCTTTGAATTTTGCAGTAGTGTATGCGTTTTGAAATTGTTTCTCTATAGGATAAATGCTTATAT